GTGCCCTGCATGCCTCTTGCTCGGCCGCGTGCTCCTGGGCTGGGGTGGGGCAGGTGGGGTGGGGTACTGGGTCTTGGCATCCTCGGACCTCCAACCCGAGCCCACCTGATGCAGACGATCCCGCCTGGGCTGTGTGCTGCCCAGGCGGGGCCATCGCCCTGTCCTCCTAGTGGGTGTGGCCAGACCTCACCTGGGCTGAACCCTTAGTCGGCCCCACCCTCTGCCACCCATGGGGCTGCTGGGAACTCTCCGCTGTTGGGGGCCCCTGCACCACGCCCCGCCACTCCACCCCGAGGCCACCCTTCCCTGTTCGTCCTGCAGCCCCAGGTAGCCGCGGGTCTGCTGGGCTGGCACCCAGGTCCCCACCCTAGGCCCGCTAACGGTCTCTGGATCCGTGGGCGGGGGTGCCCTCACTGAGCAGGGCAGCCCAGCTGGCCTGGGAGCCACGTGGGCTGCGCTCTGTCCGCAGCGCCGTGGGGAAGACGTGCCTCCTGATCAGCTACACGACCAACGCCTTCCCGGGAGAGTACATCCCCACCGTGTGAGTGGCTCGGGGTACACCCCACCGTGTAGTGGCTCGGGGTACATCCCCACCGTGTGAGTGGCTCGGGTACACCCCTACTGTGTAGTGACTTGGTGTACACCCCACCGTGTAAGTGGCTCGGGGTACATCCCCACTGCGTAGTGGCTGTGAGGGGCTTGGGGTTCATCCCCACCGTGTGAGTGGCTCGGGGTACATCCCCACCGTGTGAGTGGCTCGGGGTACACCCCACCGTGTGAGTGGCTCAGGGTACACCCCACCACGTAGCAGCTCGGGGTATACCCCGCCGTGTGAGTGGCTCAGGGTACACCCCACCGCATAGTGGCTTGGGGTACATCCCACCACGTAGTGGCTTGGGGTATACCCTACCGTGTAGTGGCACCGTGTAGTGGCTGGGGGCTGTGAGATCTGGGCCAAGGCTTGGCACTGGCCTATGGCTCTGTTGTGGCCTGGAGGGGGTGGGCGAGGGCCAGAATTCCAGTTCTGTGCAGGCTGGAGTGCCCGGCACAGGGCCTGGGCCTGGACACCCTCCCAGCCCCACGCCCCTCCCCATCTGCAGTTTCGACAACTACTCTGCCAACGTCATGGTGGACGGGAAGCCTGTGAACCTCGGACTGTGGGACACTGCAGGGCAGGAAGATGACGACCGGCTGCGGCCACTCTCCTATCCCCAGACTGTAGGTGACACCCGGCCAGCCCCAGAAGCTGGGTGGTCCAGGCGGGGTCCCAGCGGCCATGATGGGGTGGATGCGGGAGCCATTCGGAGCACTCCTGACCCTGTTCCTGGTCCATCCTCCTTCCCAAGGATGTCTTTCTGATCTGCTTCTCCCTGGTGAGCCCGGCCTCCTTCGAGAACGTCCGTGCCAAGGCAGGGCCCGCGGAGGAGTCCCTCTCAGGCGAGGCCTTGCTCCGGGGACCTGCCCGCTGGCACAGGGCCTCTGGCCTGAACACTTCCCTTGTGCAGATGAGGGGCCGCTCTGTGCGGGGTGAGGGCGGGTGGCATAGGCGGTAGCCAGGCTCGCAGAAGGCCGAGGGCCTTTCTCACTGGCCACTGGGGTGGGCCCTAATTAGGAGCGTCCTGGCAAGTCACAGGTTTCCAGGCTGGATCTTTTTGTTCCTGGTCAATCCCCACCAAACCCACCAGGCTCTGGCCCACTGTGAAGCAAGAGCCCAGTGTGGCCAGGCCAGCGAGCGGGGAGAGGAGCCCCGTGGTCCGGGGGCCACGGCATCAGGTTCAGACCTGCGCTCCACAGTGGTACCCGGAGGTGCGGCACCACTGCCCACACACGCCCATCCTCCTGGTGGGCACAAAACTGGACCTCCGTGACGACAAGGACACCCTCGAGCGGCTGCGGGACAAGAAGCTGGCGCCCATCACCTACCCACAGGGCCTGGCCATGGCCCGGGAGATTGGTGAGCGGGCAGTGGTGGCAGGGGGCGTGCCCAACCTGCTCTCCCGCCCTCGCCACCCCACCCTCACTGTCCCCTGCTTGCTGTCCCCAGGCTCTGTCAAGTATCTGGAGTGCTCGGCCCTGACCCAGCGGGGCCTCAAGACCGTGTTCGATGAGGCCATCCGGGCTGTCCTCTGCCCGCCCCCAGTGAAGAAGCCGGGGAAGAGGTGCACAGTGTTCTAGGCCCACGCCGGCGGGCGGGCAGCCTGGCCACTCTGTGCCATGTTACGATGTGGTGTCTGCTGTGGGGAGTGGGGGGAGGGGAGCATAGGGCGGCCGGGGGGGCGGGGGCCTGGCCTCTCTGCCTTCTCTTTC